GGGAAAGAGGAAGACTAGTTTTTTTTTACGGTTTATTTAACGCCGTCAGGATCCGGTATTCGCTCAGGCCGAAACCATACCAAATGGGAAAAACAAAAACCGAACAACAATTAAATTGGTTACGTTGTTAAATTCTCTTTCATTTTTTTCGTTTAATTCGAAGATTACTTATTCTATAATTATTACACGATCTTCACACAAATTTCAACTAAACTCTTTATGGTTTTATCCACATGCATATTTACCTTTTGTTTATATTTGTATGTTTGATGAAATGTAAATAAATTCCAAAACTATAAGATAAAAGAAATAATAATAATAATAAGAGTAATAATAATATAAAATAATTATGAACCTTATATCTAAAATTTAAAAGTTATTGTCAGTATAAAAATCAAATATAACCGTTAATAAAAAAATTCTATACAAAGATGTGATGTAGATTAATAACAATAACGTCTTAAATTCTAAATTTATTTAGAATCAAGAAATTCACATTTTCTATTTGTTTTGATTTTGGGTTAAATCTTTCAAAAATAATTATCACTATAAATCATTACTATTAAAATCCCATTAATTTTCATGTCTCTTTAATTCGATTTATTTTTGTTTATTTTTACATGATTTGTGTTTAATTTGGAAGATGAAGATAAATATCATCATATGGTTATAAACACTATTAGTAAATGGCCCGATAAGACACTAAACGTAAAGCATCGGACCAAGCTTTTCGGTTTGGTTTGTCTCTGCCATGCCCTAATTAATAATTATTTGACGGCGTCGGTTAACGGAATTCAGTGACGTGCGTCGAACGGTGACACGTCATGTTAGAAGACGAAAAGGGGAGGGGAACAAATAATTGACCAGCCACTTATGAAATGACGTCGTTTTAATAGAGGGGGTGCTTTGGGACAAGCTAAGTTAGGAGTGAAAAGTGTGATTTTATATATTTGGTGGGGTTAGTTTAGAAATTCTGAAAATAGCGTATGTTTGGTAATAATAACCTTGAAGGATACGCAACCTGGAGCCTTAAGACCAACACGGAAGGAATGATCATTTGAGAGAAGGGAATACGAAGACAAAACAAACACTTCAAGCTCAAATATATAAATTTATAATCCATCCATTACTTTCAATATTTAGAAAATATTTTTAAAAAAATCGGGGTTTCCTTTCAATGAACCATTTTTTTTGTTAAATAATAGTTTAAATATTGTATTTAGAGCTCAACTTGACATTGTAATTTAATTAGTATATCTAATTTAATTTGGATAGTTCAACCGGTAAAATGAAATCATAAAACGTTTGTTCTATCCCGGATTTGAACCTCAAATTTGGAGATTGTATATTCCAAATCACATAATTAATTTACAGTTTTAAAATTAGTTTGAATCTTCGTTTAGTATTCTGTTAAAAAAAACGATGGATGGAAAATGTATCAGGGATGTATACAGGAACTAAAGGGAGTTTATCAACATTTTTTTAATGCATAATCTGCTCAGATTTTGCTTATGCATCACCTAATCTGCACATCTAAAAATAATAACACTAATTAATATTGGGTTCAAGTGTTGATTGTTATTTGGGCCTCGGAGCCTAAAGGCTTTGAAAACTATTCAAAACCAATGGACCGACCCTTTTTTATTTAAATTGCGGGCGATTATATTTCTTTAATTTTCATTAGAAAATCGCATTTCCTCCGTCACATTCCGTACGCTTAGATCCCCTCTCTCTCTGCTACCTTATTTACGTAACGGGCCCAAACAAATTTGTAATGGGGGATAAAAATAAAAGTAAATTTAATTTTACTAGGTTTTAAACCCGCGCAAATCGCGCGGACAACAAAATTTTTTAAAAAATTATTATTAGTTTTAAAATTAAATATATTATATTTTTATAATTCATATCTTAAATCAAAATAATAAATAGTTTTTTTAAAATATTGAGATAGTAGTATCTTTTTATTTTCCAAAAATGATTATTAATAACGTCTATATTTATATTTTTATGTGTTATAATATAAAATTAAGGATTAAAACCTAATTTGATAAGCTCGGCTGATGAAAGGGATGCAAAGCGTCAATCTGATCCCGACTTCGGGTTTCAAGTTGGGGAGAAGACTGCATATTCTAATCACATGACTTGCTCCCGGACCCGAGATTAGTTTGAACTCGACCCAGGACACCCTGTTATCAGAAAAATATTAAGAGTTTGATATATAGTCTATACCCTGAATCTCTTTCTGCGTGTATCGTCCACATTGTGGTAGGAGAAGAAGGGTTTGCGCCTGAAAGCCTCGCTCCTGTATCCACTGTCTCCTTGATCAGACTTCTCTGCCGTCAGGTTTCTCGAGTTTCTGAAATAATTGTCCCTATCCCATATTACCTTATAATCTGCCTTTAACCGAGAACCTTCCTGCACGAACAACAAAACAATCTCGAGAAATCAACACTCATATACCCGCAACCTATGTTTGGATAATGCAACACCAGAAATTCTAAAAAATGATCATAACTTTTTCAGCGATTTGTCTTAACCAGCAATTTACCATGGTGAAAACATTAGAAAAACATCATATTACAATATCTTCCCAGATTATTTAAATATTTTGTATCTAAGGCAATATCAAATGATCATGATATCGGGCTAACGAAAAGAACGTAACCTTTTGCATTGAACGGCCACAAAAAACCTTGCAACTGAACCACAATCTTGCAATGAAGACCCGATACAATGTCCCCGTTGTCCTCTTCTGCATCCTTACTGCCTAGATCATCGTCAACGCAACAGAACACATAAATTCACTATTAACTTATATGAGAGACAACAAATGAGAATGTACAACTGAGAACCTTTCGGACAATTTCACTATCGAGCAAGCAAAAGAACCTTTCGGACAACCTTATTCAAAACTAAATCAAACTTGACATCACAGATGTTGGGTTTAATCTTGTCGGAATCGGGTTTTGTTTTTCTTAGTTAATTATAGTTTGGTTAGTTGCGGTCATATTTTGGTTATGCACTTTGAATAAATCTTGTGTTTAGATTTTTGGTTTCTAATTTTTAGGAGACTTAGTCTTTGGTTTGTTCAACCATCTTCTACGTGTTCCATGTACGTAGGATTTAGTTATGATTATTGTATTTCTATAAATATCAGAAAAACAAATAAATAAAGTAAGGTTTTCATGGAGAAACTTCATCTTCTCTCTTACGTTTTTTTCCAGCAAAAATATAAAAAGCAAATATCAGAAATTAATGTTCTGTTTATTATCATGTTTCTAAGTTTAGTTCCTACAAGAGATACTGAATTTTATACCTTATTTTGCCAAAGGTAGAGAAGATTGTATGTGTAACCAACATGGAAGGCTTTGAAGAACCCCTCGGCTCTGCAAACCATCTCGATGGAACCCCTCTGACTATGATCGTGTCGGGTTCTCGCCTCCCATCCCTCGAACAGCCTGCAAAGAAAATGCAAGTAAAAATCTCTTTCATGTATAATCACATCATATACCCTGAAATCACAAACTAAACCCTAAAATTCAACGAACCCGAATTCCCAAAAGCGTAGAATTCCTCCCAACCCTTCTTCAACCTCTCGAAAATCCTCAGACACAGGAAGTGTAACACTAAGTTTTTACTTAACCCCTTCAAGGTAGAGCTCAATCTCATCCATCTTCTCCATCAAACGCTTCCTCCATTCCAGAAACTTCTTCTCCAAACCCTCTACATCTTCCGCGCCATCACCACTCGTCTTCTTCCTCTTCAGAAACCCTAACTCGCGAACGAATAGCAACCCATTTGCCACTGGTTCGTCACGCTTCCGCTTCTTCAGGTCCTTGTGTCGTCGGACTACGATATCTTCCTCCGAAACAGTCACGGCTGGCACGACGGAGGTCTCGAGGAAATCGTTCAATCGATGCTTGAGATGAACTTCTTCAGATGTTTGATACAAATAAGTACGAATATTTCTTTTACCTGGGGCCGTGAGTATGTTTGGGTTCATTGGCTTTCACGACAATGTCTTTCAATTTGGTTGTCTATTCTCGCCATTTTGGGTTGTGAGAGAAGAGAAAAATTTAGTTATTATATAGATAAAGATTGTGGAAATCAATGTATACACAGAAAAAAGTAAAAAAATTTAAAGTACATTAATTATTCTAAAAGTTATACGATCGAGAACATTTTTTTTAAAAAAAAAATCTGTAGAGACACGTGTCGTCGTCTGCTTAAACGAACTGTACTTTTATATATATGATTACGGGAGCATTTAACAATATTATTTAAAACTTTCTAAACAAAAAGTTAATTTTTTTTTAATCATAAAAATGAGAGCTTGTTACCCCTTTTGTAAGTAAATGGGTACGCCCATGTTTACACTCGTGCAGTCTGCATGGATGCATATGAAGAACGTCAATAGTTTTTCAAATGCTCTGCATGTATATGTACGTATACGTAGACGTGCATACTCAGTGTATGTAATATATATTCAAATACAATTTTTTTTTCTAAGCAATACAAAAAAAACTATTCGCCCTTTTGAATCCTCCTTTGCCTAGCGATGAAAGACTCGATCTTGTGCCGGAGTTCGTCGTTGCTCATTCCTTCATTCACGTCTACGGTATCCAGAAGATATCTCTCCGTCTCTGACCTTCCCTTGGCCCCACAACAAACTATCGTATTCTCCGGCCAGCTTCTCGTATAATTCGTCTTCTGTTTTGCCCTAATCTCTCCGGTGTCTTGTCTTGGTCTCCTCTCAAGTACTGTGTCCCGCCTTTGTATTATGCCATCGATTTCCGTTGCTCTCTCCTTTTGTCGATGCTCAGTTGTGATATGTTTCCCCTTATTCTCAGTTCCACCCACCTTCTCAGACTTGGACGGTCTTTGTCCGGTTCCGGTAGTGTTCTGTTCCACGATGTCTTCCTTTGTGCCCTCGTCTTGGATCCTGCCATTTTTGTCTACGTTTTTCACTTGATCGGCCCATGAGTTTTTCTCTTCTCGTCTTCTGCTTTCTCTAATAAACTCCTCATAAAAGGCATCGTTGCTTGCGCTTTGTAAATCAGATTCTTGATTCGGGAGCTTGCCGTATTTGGTTAAAAACGTGATGACGGCTATAACGTTACCGACGAAGAACACGAAGTGACGGTTGGAGAGGATAAAAGCTAAACCCTTGACACGTTCACCAGAGTTCTCGAACGTGGTAACGAGTTGGGAGAAGAGTTTGGCTACTGTAGTGACGACAACCGTTACCTCTATTGCCCGGAAAAACAAGCTCGAGAGGATCTGAACCGTAGATTTCCGACCAGTCGCCTTCGTCTTCCTCGTTGTAGTCTTTCCGGGCTTAAACGAATCCATTTGCATGGCAGAATACAAACAACCAATAAAATGGGTAAAATAGATTAAGAGAGGGTTTAGGAGTTTTTTCTCGTCAATATATTATGGACATAAAAAAAGCTTGGATCAGGATTCGTGGAAAATTTTGGTTGATGGATGAAATTTTCATGTGAGAAAATTTGGGAAACGGGAGGAGATATTTTTGGAAGCAAGCTCGCCTCTCTTTGTTTTTCCTTTTGGTTGACTTGAGGGTTTTTGGTTGCTTAAGTGGGTATTTATAAAGTGTTATCTTTCCTGCACATAGAGGGAAAGAAAAATAAAATATTTTATTTATCTTCTTAATATGTATTTGGGATGAAAAAAATAAACATGTTTGTTTTTATCCATTCTTTGGTGATAATGTTTTTTAGGGAAAAAAATAATCTGGAGTAGATTTGTTTATAAATCGAATATTTAAGTAAATATGTCATCATAAGTATTTGGTTAAATAATAATAAAAACTAGTGAGTTAGATTTAAATATTTTTTTTTATAACCAGGATAGTTCTGCGGGCCTTTGTCTCGATGACATCCATCATAGGTTCGGAACCAGTATTTGTATATGGATCATTTTGGTCCATAAATTACATCCCTCTCCACCAGTATAATCGAATCCAGGTTTGAGTTTGTCATCATCATTTCAACCACTGGTTTACCAACTTTTGGTGGTGTAAATAAATTCTTATTATGTGAAACAAGATTTTGATAAATTGAGTATTTTAATTAAATATGACAGTATAAGTATTTGGTTACTAAGAATTAGCAAGCTATTCCAAGAAAATAAATTAGACGTAAAATTCTTATTATGTGAAACAAGTTTTTTATATTTCGAGATAACGGTGCAACACGTCATTATAAAATAACAACAAAAAAGAAAAATATGAGTTTCGTAGTCATATCATATATTATAAATCATGGAAAGTAAAGTATGCACGCTCCTTTAGTTAGAGAATATTTTTTTATTAGCTCTGACATTCTTTTTTAAAATAACTTTAATATTATATTCTACTCGATGTAGAATTTTGAGTGATAAGACATTTTATTTACAAAGATATAAAGTCGTACGTAATTGAAACTCGAAATGACCACCATGATTAAATTGACACGAACTTTTATTAATCAAACATATTAACTTAGTTATATTTCTCTGTTACAGGACGATAATGAATTTTTTTAACAAAAAGTTCTGAACTGCTCAAAAATATAAAATCTAATTTTTTAGATTAGTTATATTAAATTATATATATATATATATAATATTTTAGAATAACAACAAAATTTGGTTAATCTATTATTAGAAAAAATTATATTTATTTTTAAATATGATTATTGAGAAAAAAACTCATTCATGGATAATATATTTAAATAATGGTTTTGATAATTTACGGTTACATATATTTTTATAATTATAATTAGATATAATTTTAAAAATTAAAAATTCAATATAATAACGGCACGGTGGGAAAGAGAAAAAAAAACCCTCCATGCAACATCTACAGCCATTTGTTTAATATATGTACATATATATATATATATGTATGTATATTATATACCATTCTTAATATAATTTTAACAGTTTTGAGAGCTTAGATTTGTTTTGTTCAATCTATTTTATTTCACTTGCTTACCTTTTATATTCTCGTTGTTGATATATATGTAAACTATTGCTTCTTCGCTAAGACATGGCCGATGGATTCATGCTTGGACGACTTCTCTTTGGTTTTCTTTTGTGTCTTGTCCCTTTCTTACCAAAGAAGAGGTGGGCAGATTTCAATCTAAATTATGTTATTGGATACACTTTGGACAAAAGCTTCCCTTCTTTAATTTCTTTTTTTTTTTAAAGATGGATGATTTTTTTTTTTCCATTTCTGGTCAGTATCAATTGCATACATATATATGATACGCATGCATATAATGTGTTTTCAATGTATTTGATATTATTGATCATCGTCGTCATTTATTTACATATTCTTACGCACCTTTTGATAAACCATTATTTTCATTATATCATAAAAATATCCCACAATTTCCCCATGTTTCATCAAATTTGTATGCGTTTGAGTTGTACGTTTATGATTAATCTTATACTTTTTTTTAGTTTTTTTATATTTCTCTTACGTGTAAATAGGTAATATTTTTTATATATCTATTGGCTAATATTCATTATCATGGTTATTTAATCTCCGAGTCCTATATTACGGTTTATGTAATTTATTGGATAATAAGTAATATCTTTATGTTGAAATTACAAATGATTGGCCTTTTGTGTGGGATTGGGGAGATACTTCGTCTCTTGACGTGAACTTAAAATCTATGGGCACCATTTACTCCATTATTATGTTTGTACCACCATTTTAATTAAATAAATTCATGGATAGGAGACAACCAATTGTAGAGAATTGGAAAAAAAAAATGCAAAGTGACATAGTTTATTAAGTTTTCATATAAAATAAAACAGTTTTGTCTTCCATAAAGAGCTATTATATATTATATCACGACTTAAATAATGGCTTAGTACATTAATAAAAATGTTTATACATTATACAATCTCTCTTTTGGAATCCCTATTGGGGCGTTAAAATCATATTTTGTGTTACTTAAGAAACAGAATTTCCTGCTAACAAACACAATTATGGCATCGAAATTCTTCAAACAATTAAAAAAGAAATCCGACCTGCCGGATTCGAACCAGCGACCTAAGGATTATCTGCAAACACTACAGTCCTCCGCTCTACCAACTGAGCTAAGGTCGGTTGCTACTGATAGGGCTATTAGATAAGTAACTATATTTTGATGGGCCCAACTAAACTTCGAATAGTTGGGCCTTTACAAATGGCCTAGTATTATCCGTGTGGACTGGAGTCTGCCCCCCCCCCAACTGCTATAAAGACCAAAACCCTAGTTCGGCAACTCTCTCTTCTTCAATCTCCGCAAGCAACTCTGCCCTTTGATCTGATTCTTGATCTCCGTCGAAGTAACCATGGTTATAGTTTCTCTCTCGGACTCTCTCTGAAACACTCTGTTCATCTGTATTTTATCGAGTTGCTGATTTAGTTCTTCGGTTATTGCAGGCGCCGAAAAAGGACAAGGCCCCGCCGCCGTCGTCGAAGCCGGCGAAATCTGGAGGTGGCAAACAGAAGAAGAAGGTCGTTATTTTAAATTCGATATGCTTTGTTTTACTTTATCAGATAATTTATTGTGCCTGTATGCATTTGGATGTTCATGGCCTTTCCGTTTACGTGTATATTAGCTTGGGTGGGCAGAATTGACAGGTTGCGTAGTTTTTTCTGCTTAGTATTCAGTTCGATTTCGATGAGGAAATTAGCGTATCTTCATGTTTATATAGTCGCGTGTGGCGATATTCTAATGTCTGCCAACGTGGTTGCGCTGTTATGTATTCATTACCTCTGCTTCTTTCTGTTTTTGTGATTATGTGGTTAAGTTGTGTGTTTGCTTTTTCTCTGGTGTTTCGGTGGAAGTTGTAGCTGGTAGGTTGTCATGGTGTTTGTACTAAATTGTGGAATGTGTTATATGTAATGCAACAGAAGTGGAGCAAGGGAAAGCAAAAGGAGAAGGTGAACAACATGGTGTTGTTTGATCAGGCCACTTATGACAAGCTTCTCTCCGAGGCACCTAAGTTCAAGCTCATCACCCCATCAATTCTGTCCGACCGTATGAGGGTACGCTGCTCCTTTATTTTTGTTTCTGCCTCAATCTACAGATTCGTTGGTCGTATCCTTGAGGTTTCCTGTTAATCATTTTCAAAACTTGTGTTCTGATTACTGCTTGTCGTTCTCTAGTTTAGGAATAGTTTTAGGGGTTCTTGCTCTGCATCTTTCTACACAATTAGTTATTGGACTATCCACCGTGACTTTAATGGATTTCCATTGATCATTGGTCCTTTATGTGGATTTCCCAGGCATCCTTAGTAATAGTATGCCTGAATCATATGTATGGAAGATTCTCATGGACTGAATTCACTTTTTACTCTTTTTTTTCTTACTAAGAAATTTTAGATTTTGAGAGAAACCCAGATTTTTTTACTTGTTTATGTTCAAGTAAACATTGGGAAGAAGGCGATGTTGTTGTTGTACAAGTGGGACCTTAGTTTATGATGAGAATGTCATTGCAGATATAAACAGGTCCTTTCAATTCCTATGGCACCTTTAAAATTACTTCTGATTCGTTTAAGTTTAGAGTGGTACATTCATACCAATCCCTAATCGTCAGCTTATGATTGCAACGGTATGGGTTAACGTAGGAGGTTAATGTTTGTTTCTGACGTTATGGGCTAATTTTGACAACAGATTAGTGGGTCACTTGCAAGGAAAGCGATTCGTGAGCTCATGGCGAGAGGGTCGATCAGGATGGTCTCTGTGCACTCCAGCCAGCAGATCTACACCCGTGCCACCAACACCTAAGTTCTAGCTTTTCACTGGGTGTTGGTGTTTATACCTCTTTTGCAATATACAAGTATCAGAGCCTTATTTTTGTTGCCGTAACGATTCATAGACTCGTTCGGATGTCCTTTTTCAGATTAACTGATTAAACTCGTTAAGGGTTTTTGGAATGAGATTTTTTACATCCTTTCATTCTTTTCATTTTCATGATGATCTGGTACCATTTGTAGAAACTTTGCATGTTGAATCTTTGGTCCTCGGACCTCTGTCATGATTCTGCCAGGTCAATCATTTATGCTGCTGGCATTTTCTCGGTCTAATCCGGTTTTGAATACCATTTGTATTCAATTTGCGGTTTTGTCCGGTTAGAATGTGAGGCTTTGGCAATGAGTACGGTTATATATGCAAATTGTATTCGCTGGTGTCATTCACACGTTTGATCAATATTAGCTTATACCGGTTATTGTAATTGGGTTAGGGGTTAGTTTGGTTATGTCCCGGTTTATTTTTCTGTTTTGCTTCATTATTACTTTTTGGTCCTTTTTTGCTTTACCTTTCTGTTACGAGCTAGCTCTGAGGGTTCTCTCGGGTTTTCCTGTTTGACATCCTAGGGCTTCCTTGATTCTTTTCTGTATATATACGTTTGTAATTCTTCATTTGAATAGAAGGGAAAATTTTCTCAGAATCGTTCTCTTACGTTTCCTCTTGTTTTCCCTAAAATCTGATTTACATTATGGTATCAGAGCTCAAAGCTTCCTCTGTTCTTTGATTCTGATTTCGTTTCATCCTTCTCTTGATCTGTTTATTCCACTTCTCCTTTGTTTGTTTCTTCCATGGAAGAATCCTCTGAAACTCGTGAACCGACTACTCTTGAAACACCCATGACCCACAACCCTAATATCACCCTTTCTTCTCGTGACCCATATTCTGACCCTTTGTTTCTACACGCTGCGGATTCTTGGAGCGTGTTGTTGGTTGCAGATCGGCTTCAAGGAGAGTCCAACTATAGCACCTGGCCGAGATCTATTCAGAAAGCGTTTCTTGCTAAGAACAAACTGGGTTTTGTTCTCGGTACCATTCCTGAAAAAATGTTAGATGATGTGAGGTTGTCTGAATGGTCCAAACTGTTAGGAACTTCAAAGAAAATTGGGTATTGTTGTGTTATCCTAATTAGACTTTTAGTTTAAGAAATTACACCGAAACGTAACAGGAGATTAAATTAACAAACGAGAAGTATTGGGGTATAATTGAAATTATGATTTTCTTTGGTGGGTTTTGCGTAAATATTAAATAGATGTACGAACTAGTAGGGGTGGCCATTTCGGTTATTAACCGAATAACCGAGCCGAACCGAACCGAATAAGATATAACCGTATCCGAACCGAACCCGACATCAAAACCGAACGGTTATGATTTACTTAAACCCGAAAAACCGAAACCGAAACCGAACCGAATCGAATAAAAAATAACCGAAAAAACCGAGAGAATAATCGACATTTTCTTTGGAAAATTGAACTTTTTACCAAAACCGAACCGAACCCGAACCGAAAAATAACCGAACCGAACCAAACCGGAATTTATATAAAAACCGAATGGTTATAATTTTTCTATAACCGAAATAACCGAACCCGAATATAACCGAACCGAAACCCGAATTGGCCACCCCTGCGAGCCAGCCAGTCACCAAAGGCACGAGCAAATAAAACACGGAACAAGGTGAGAGCAAAAGTCCGTGTGTTGCTTCTTGCTTGATTTTCACTGCGTTTGAAGTTGGAAAGGTGGTCTCTTCTGGTCTGCTGCTCTCACTACCATTCTCCGTCCACCAAGTGTACGAATCCTCGTTTTTCTTTTGAGTTTCGAAGTTTTTGTTGATTGTTTTGAGATTTTTTCTGTTTTTCATTCGCACATTTTCATCGTTCTATCTACCTCATTGATTCGCCGTTAGTTTGTAACTTAGGGTTCGGAATCCTGATTTCTGGTCCCCTTTTCGAAATGATTATGTTCTTCGAGTTGTTATTCTGGATCTGATTTGGGCGTTATCCCTTTCGTGATTTGTTAGACTGCTCGGTTTGTGTGAAAATTCGATGAGGAGCGAGAGAGAGAGAGACGAAGGGAGGGAGAATTTGATCTATTTTCCGCCGTTCGGGTTACTAGGGTTTCAATTTCTGTCTGATCGTTTAGCCAAGGTACTTAGTTTGCCATTAAATTTATGGCGTTCTCTCGACTTTTTTTTGGCCAAACTGCCGCAGAAATTGAAGCTGGAATTTCTAGGCAGTGTTCCTTATTTCTAGGATGATCATTGTTTTGTGAGCAGCAGATTTATGTTTGAAGCAGTTCTTCGGGTAAGTCGGGGTTTACAGATTGAAGCTAGGTTTGGCCATGAACACTCATCTTTAGAGAAGAATCTTTATGTGATAGCACTGTGTTCTGGGAAGAAACATACTGGGCATTGGGCAATGTTCTCTTTTAGAGAGAAATTTCTGGATATCGTTACAGTATGTAGATAAAAGATGGAAATTTAGAAACTACAGAATGATACAAGAAATCGTCGTCAAATTGAGCTGACTGTTCTATTCATCTGTAGGTTTTAAATATCACATAAAATGGATGGAAGTGGGGTTGATAGCACTTCAATGGCGACGCCTGTGCAACAGCGTGCACATGAAGCATGGAGGCTTTACCAGTATTATCTGGACAAGACCACGCCTCATGCTGTTTATAGGTGGATTGGAACTGTCGTCATTGCTCTTATCTACTTTACAAGGGTTTACTACCTTCAGGGATTCTACATCATCACCTATGGTCTCGGGATCTACATACTGAATCTGCTCATTGGGTTCTTATCGCCTCTTGTTGATCCCGAGCTAGAGGCCTCGGATGGACCTATGCTGCCTACTAGAGGTTCAGATGAGTTCAAACCATTTGTCCGCCGACTCCCAGAGTTTAAATTCTGGTAATGTGCCGTCTCTTCTGCAAACTCCGGTTTGAACTGTTTATCATGCTAGAATACACAAGTAATATTCCTTAGGCTTTTTCGTATTTGCCATGTCATCATTGATGATGGCTCGTTCATATATTATACGAATATGTTTACTGCTTATGCCAGTGATGTCGATATCGCATTCCGTGAAATGCATGTCTCGTGCACTTCATGCCCTTTTGTGCTTTATGTTTTTGCCACCTTAGAGGCTGTCATGATTCATCGCTAGTTTTTCTAAACTTTCATGCATCTTTAGTTACTATTTCTTTTTTGTCAACTTTGCTGATCATTGTAGATGTGATTGCAAAGATGAAAGCCTTTCGTGCCTGATGTAACAGCATCATCAAACTCCCTGTATTGGTTTGTCATATCATATCATATCGCTTCCAGCAAAAGCACCGAGTTTCATATTTTTAATGGGCACTCATTCTTCTTGAATGTTAGAACTGAAGGAGAGATGTGTAGATCCATGCATTGTCACTGAAATGAAAATGAGCAGTTTTTCTTTTTGGTCATTGAAACTACGAAGTTTCTATCATCTGGCTTCTGTTGTGGTCTCATCAGGTACACCATGACAAAGGCTTTCTGCATAGCTTTTCTAATGACGTTCTTCTCGGTTTTCGATGTTCCCGTCTTCTGGCCCATTCTGCTGTGTTATTGGATTGTTCTCTTCGTCCTTACAATGAGACGCCAGATCTCGCACATGATCAAGTACAAGTACATTCCTTTCAGCATCGGAAAACAGGTATTATGTTCTGACACCACTGCGTTTTGGTTTCACTGAACTGTATAAGTAAACACTATCTCACTCTTGTATGTTATATCTTTGCACGTATAGGTTTTATCATATCTAGCATCTCATTTCTTTACTTAGTTTAAACTCGGATGTAGAAATCTTACGGGTTGTCTCATACGAAACAAGGAGGATCGACTGAGTAAATGGAACATGGTGCCATAATCAGTACTTGCAAATTGTTGATAATAATACATGACACGGAATCCTTTGAGATGGGATTGCTGTTTCTATGCAGCATGTAGATATATATATGTATATGTATCAACTGCTTATTTTTACAATTTTTGTTATTTTGACTACCTCTCGTCTGTCTGAACTTGCTTGATGATGACAGAAATACGGCGGCGGCGGCCGGAGATCTTCCCCGAGCACCAGCGGCTCTCGTGCCGATTGATCAGACCATTGCCACCACCATCTTCATCACCCCTTTTGTTTGGTTTTAGAAGGATTTATATTTTAAAGCGATGGACCAATTCAAGAAAAAAAAAAAGAAGCGTGATATAATTCGATTTGTTTTCTCTCAGCCATGAATCCATTACTTTGTTTTTTGTATATATGATTTTATTTTTCAGAATTTATGATGTTCTCTTTCTTCTTTTTTTTTTTAATCAAATTCCTGAAATAAAAAAATGCGTATGTTTTGGGTCCACGTTTGATCATTCAAATTAACGGGGAAAAAGGGCAAAGAGATTACACCTTTCTATAACATTTCCATTTTAGAAAAGAAAAAAGAATAAAGTGGAGTTCGTATGCATATATTAAAATAAATTGAAGAAGCTTCTGTTTGGGCCAGAGGGTGTCTAACCTTGGCTGTCGCCTTCCTATTAAACCTTCCCAAAACCCTAAACCTACAGTTTCTTCTGTTTCGGCCTCAGGAAAGACAGCCAAAACACTAGAGACCTCGCCATGGGTAAGGTGAAGGGAAAGCATCGTCTTGATAAGTATTATCGCCTCGCTAAGGAGCAAGGTTATCGATCGCGAGCCTCATGGAAGCTTGCTCAGCTCGATACCAAGTTCTCTTTCCTCCGTTCCGCCCATGGTGTCCTCGATCTCTGCGCCGCTCCCGGTGGTTGGATGCAGGTCGCCGTTCAGCGTGTTCCCGTTGGCAGTCTCGTCCTCGGTATAGATCTCGTTCCGATTGCGCCGATTCGTGGGGCGGTGGCGATGGAGCAGGATATCACCAGGCCTGAGTGCAGGTCGAAGATCAAGCAGGTGATGGAAAAACATGGTGCTAGGGCTTTTGATTTGGTTCTGCACGATGGGTCTCCGAATGTCGGTGGTGCGTGGGATCAGGAGGCCATGAGCCAAAACGCTTTGGTTATCGATTCCGTGAAGTTGGCTACCGAGTTCTTGTCCCCGAAAGGGACTTTCGTTACCAAGGTAATTTTTCTCTGATCCTATGGTGTTTTGGTGGGTTTGACTGAAATGTATGCTCCATTTTTATCTCTGGAATTAACAAATTCAAATATCAGATGTTATGATAGCAAGGTATCATATAGCTAATTCTGATGTTTTATTGATTTTTTTACTTCCCGAGTTTGTAGTTACGCTTGCTTTCTGGCCATTTTAGTAATCTTCGAACTTATTTGGAGTGCTTCAGTTCTTACTGTGTCGTGATGTGTTTGATATGAAGTTTTGATTACTTCTTTACTTGTTACTTCTCTAGGTTTTCAGGTCACGGGACTACAACTCTGTGCTCTTCTGTCTTAAGCAGGTAATGTTTGGATTTTCCTCTCCTTTTTGTTCAGGTAACTGTTTTGATTCTTACTACACTCAGTGGAATTTGATGTGCAGCTTTTTGAGAAAGTGGAAGTTTTTAAACCACCAGCTAGTCGTTCAGCTTCTGCTGAAACATATCTGTTGGGTCTGAAGTATAAAGCTCCTGCCAAGATTGATCCTCGCCTTCTTGATGTCAGACATCTCTTTCAGGGTGCTATAGAACCCTCAAGAAAGGTAATTACTTGTATCAAGCATGGTATTTTGGGGGGAGTGGTTGTGGTATGTATCCCTACTTTCTGTTTAACGTGTGATTATTTTATGATTTGTTCTCGAATTTGTAGGTTGTGGATGTGCTTAGAGTGTCAAAACAGAAAAGACACCGTGATGGGTAGGTCTCAGTCGCTTATTATCGTCGTTGTTTTATGACCCTTTCTTATATATGATTTGCTGTATACAGGTATGAAGATGGAGAGTCGATTGTGAGGAAAGTTGCGTCAGCAGCTGATTTCATCTGGTCGGAAAGTCCTCTTGAGATCCTTGGTTCTGTTACCACTATATCCTTTGATGATCAAGCTTCTTTACCTATAAAAGAACATGATTTGACGACAGAAGAGGTGCAATTTTTTTTTCTTTTGGTTTTACCCTCTGTAATTGAATTATGCTTATTATTCCGATACCCTTTCGTTGTTTCTAATGCCTATTGTCTTTTATTGCGGCAGGTTAAAATTCTTTGTGATGATCTACCTGTTTTGGGGAAGAATGACTTCAAACATCTCCTAAAGTAAGACATACACTGATAGGCCAATAGTTTCCCTGGCATTGATCTTTTGCGTCTTTCATCAACCATCCACTCATTGTCCTGAAGTACCATGAGTTGCTTTACAGGCATTGATCTTCGCTTTGTTTTGTAGGTGGCGAATGCAACTCCGGAAGGCTCTATCTCCTTCACGGAAGGAAAGTTCGAAGAAGGATCCTGATGCCGAAAAGGAAGAGGAGGAAAATGATGATGATAAACTTCTCAATGAATTGGAGGAGTTGACAAACGCGACAGACCGCAAGAAGAAACGGGAGAAGAAGCTCCTTGCAAAACGACGAGCTAAGGTATTTGACCTCTCTATAGATAAAAAAATCAAGTCCCTTGCCAATGAATGCTTGAACTAGGATTGCAGTAGTGCCAACTAGCTATTGCAAACAAGACAGGTACATTCAAAATGAATGGGTGTATGCGTTTCTTTCTTTGTTTGGTTGGACTTGTTACTGGTGATGTAGTCAACTGTAAGCTTTATAAGCAGCTGCTTTGTGACTATTGGGACAGTCATATGGAGATGGAAGAAGGTTTTGTTCATAGAAGGAATGACTTTAGCATGTTAAATGCTGTTAAACAAATGTCCTCTATAAAAAAATCTATGACAGAACACTTTATCGCATAGGTTTTGTTGCAGCAATTTGTTTGAATTGGTCTTTGGGATGCGTAGAAAGCATAACTGAAGCATCCTTTTTACTCAATCCTCTGCCTCTTGTACCAAAATCGATAGGAGTCCAATTGATCGTGAGGCTTTCTTCACAAGTTCATATGTTCTGATTAGATTTCGGTGTTTAATTATGGCTGACGCTTCCTCTGTGTTATTCGTTCCATCTGCCAGGATAAGTTGCGGAAGGCAACAGGTGCACAGATAGATGCCCTTGAAGATGGTTATGTAGACCATGAGTTATTCTCTCTTTCTTCTATCAAGGTACTCCATTTCAGCCCTTCTCAATTTTTTCCTTGGATTTCACCTTTCATGACTTGGGCTAACAGGAAGCTTCTTATGGTGCCGTCCAGTTGCAACGATTTTCTTCTGACTTGCATTTATTCTTTAACAGCCCGTGACAGTTTCATTAATTGAACATATTCCTCTCTTTTGAATTAAGTTGTCCTTGTTGTCAAGCAGAAAGTTTAATTGAACATATTCCTCCTTTTTGCGTTAACTTGTCAAGCTGAAAAGTGATTCATTTGTTGGTTTTCGTTCAGGGGAAGAAAGACCTGATGGCAGTTGACAATAATGAAGATGGTAATGCCAATGACAGTGAGAATGACGGACGTCGTGAGGGAACCTCAGAGGTGTCTGACAGTGACATAGACACTGATGAAGAACGCCAGAGGTTTTGCCATAAACCCTTTCTGTAGATAGTTCCAAGAAAACCTTAACCATGTTTACATTGTATTTGTACGTATTATCCTTATAATTTTATCGATTATAGATACAACGAACACATGGAAGAGATTTTTGATGAGGCCTATGACCGTTATATGGCAAAAAAGGAAGGGAGCGCTAAGCAAAGGAAGCGAGCTAGGCAAGTCTACGCTGAAAAATTGGAGGTATTCCTCTATCCATGGTCGCATATAAATATTTGGGTGTGGAAGGGGTGCCATAGGTTTCTGAACTGATGAAAGCTTCTCTCGGCTTTGCAGGACGGTGATGGTGATGAAGAAATTCTATCTGATAATGATTCAGACAAGAACGAGGGCAATGATGAGGCAAACCCTCTGATGGTACCCCTCGATGATGGGGAAGCCGCAACGCAAGAGGAGATTGCCAATAAATGGTTCAGTCAAGATATCTTTGCGGAAGCTGTGGAGGAAGGAGACTTGGGAAAAGATGACAGTGAAGACGAAATGCAGGTCCAAAAACAGAACAAAAATCCGTCTAAAGCCGACAAATCAATGGAGAAGAAGCTGAAGTCAAGCACGTCTGCTGATCAGATCCAGCCCAAGAGTACCAAAAATGAAGATGGCTTTGAGATAGTCCCAACACCAGCCACGGATTCAAGCTCCGACTCATCCTCTGACGAGTCTGACGAAGAAGACGTCAACTCGAAAGCCGAGATACTTGCCTATGCCAAGAAAATGCTTAGGAAGAAGCAGAGAGAGCAGATGCTTGACGATGCCTATAACAAGTACATGTTTGACGACGAGGGTTTACCCAAATGGTTTTTGGATGACGAGAAACGTCACAGGCAGTCAATAAAACCTATCACGAAGGAGGAGGTTGCAGCCATGAGAGCTCAATTCAAAGAGATCAATGCTCGTCCTGCGAAGAAAGTGGCCCAGGCCAAGGCAAGGAAGAAGCGAGCTGCCATGAAAAGGATGGAGAAGGTACGGAAGAAGGCGAACAGTATATCAGACCAAGCAGACATTTCAGACCGATCAAAGAGCAAGATGATCGAACAGCTATACAAGAAAGCAGAGCCTAAAAGGCCTAAGAAGGAATACGTGGTGGCGAAGAAGGGAGTCGGGGTGAAGGTCGGGAAGGGTCAAGTGAGAGTGGACCGGAGGATGAAGAAGGACTCGAGGTCTCGTGGCGTGGGCAAAGCCGGTAAGAAGGGGAAGAAAGGCGGTCATGGCGGCGGTGGCAAGGCACAGAAAGGGAAAGGTTCTGCCGGCAAGAAAGGGAAGAGAGCCGCTTAAAGATTGTTCATTCACATGGCAATTTTTTATGGACCGCAGATCAAACATGCTGTAATTTTCCCTCTCTCCTCTATTTTAGGTGAGAAATTAGATTGATGCTTTTTCTATAGAGTGGAAACCCTGAGGAACTTTTTGGAGCAATCAAACCACTAAATTAAAATTATAAATGTTTCGTTTCTTAATTTCTTAGAAGGTAGAAAATAGAGGTTTCATGTTCCATGGTGGAATCTAAATTAAACGTACTGGTTGAGGAGCTGGTCCACGGTGGTGTATTTGACATCAGGGTAAAGCTGGGAAGCCTCCACTCCAAACGAAGGGTCAATGGCAAAGCTTGTGTGGCCTCCTTTGACCAACACGCAATGGCACAGCGACAGAATCACGTTCATGGGAGGAGAAGCTTCTTGTATGTTTTTGAGGAGCTGCTCCTCTGGAATGTAGATCCTCTCCAGCGTTTTCCCAATCTTTTTCTCCCACAAAGAGACAAGATCGTTGAAGGAGTAGGTGTTCACAGTTGGCCTCACGTATAGGATCTTGTTCAATGTTCTTGGATCATCAACTGCTTTTATCGTGTAAGCGGCGATATCTTCTTCCTTGTTGAATACAGCTGATATATATATATATATATAGCCAATATTAGAATTATACGGGCATGAACACAGATGAAATTACAGAAAGTTCTCCGTGAGAGATTGTATTAAGATAACAAGAAAAAGAGGTTATACCTTTCTGGTTACCATCACCCATGACGAAGACTTTATCTCGGGGAGCAGATGTCGCACCTGGCTGAGCTAATGTCGGGAGGAAGTAGTCAGCGAAGAAGTTGCAAGAGACGTATGTGTACGGAATACCCTCGGCCTCGATAGTACGGCGGATTCTGGCCTTTGTAGTGTAAGATGATTTTGCAGGTTCAACAACTTGGACACGGTCCACATCATTCCCAAACTCAGATGGAAAGAACCTCTGGGTGAAAGACAAATAGACCGATAAATATACAAGACTACATCACATTGTGCATCAGTTATACATGTACATACATTCATATATATATGTATATATCCTCTTAACTACACGGTGATATGGATGCATTTGCTTTGATGGTATCTGACAAATTTTTTATATGGATGCAACATGTCGTGACTCATGAGATATGTCTTACCTTGACATTGCCGGCTTCTTTGATTGCAGAGATGATCTTGTCTTGATGCCCCAAGAGCGAGTGTCCAACTGTTGATATCACCACGTCCGCTTGCTTTATCGCATTCACCAAGTTCTCGTGATCAAACAAATCTCCCTGTCCATTTTCAGGAAGAAGAAAGACAGAGATTGACATCGAAAGGGAAAAAGAACCATATCTTCTGTTTGTTTCAAGAGAAAGCTTCCTCATTCCAGATTCTAGAGAAAATCCACCAACAGAGACACAAATCATTTCCCTAAAAAAAATTCCCTCAACTTTCCCAGGAAAAAAATGAGATAACGTCTCACAACAGGAACCTCAATCCGGAAATGGCGACGAAAAGAGAAACTCGGCGAAAGAATCAAAGCTAACCCAGAATCAGAAATACGTACGAGGAGAAATTGGACGCCCAGATTTTTGAAATTATCGATGATCGTCGATCTCGAAGGGCTCGAGAGCGTGGAATCCCTGACGAGAACGAGGGTTTGGTGGCCGGCTCTGGCGCTCGCCTCCACTATGTGTTTCCCAATGTAACCAGTGCCTCCGATGAACAGAATCCTGCTCTTTCCCGCCATTTATTCCGGCGATTGAAGTTATTTCCCGGCGACAGAGACGGCGGTGCGCGAAGGGTTCGATGAAAAATGTTGAGAGAGATTGTCGATCGATTATGGACACGGGTTCACGCTCTCTTTAAAGTTCGAACCTTTCGGTTGGTGGCGGTCACAAAATGACCAAGTTGCCCCTAAACGAAATGACTATAATGACCTTGAAAGATTCAACGCCGAAATTACGGTTATTACCGTTACGACACCATCTATTCTATTCTGTTCCGTTTTTCTCTCTCTCAACCGAAATACATACTTGATTTTGGTTCGGTTTGATTGACAATGATAGTTATACGGTCAACGCTTAAGTGCATTCAAATCAAATTAAACATACACATTACGTGGGTGTATATAATCAATAAAATAATAAAATATTGAACGTTTTCCAACAAGAAATAATGAGATTAATCAATCAAATTGACGGATTTATGTTTTGATATGGGAGCTTGTCCTGAAATGAGAAGGAGCCGGCCGGAGCCAATCTTTGCCGCCGATCATGTCTTTGCTCAAGAATGCGGCGGCTTCTTCATCGGATAATTGTTTTGACCATTTTACCCTCTTCGACCGGTCAGCTCCATCCCCATAACATCTGTATTCTCCATAGTATACGGTACTGTACGAACACATATACGATACATAGTAAAAAAAACCCGTATATATATTGATCAAACACTTTGTTAGTTCGAATTTAAATGTATTTTGGAATTGTACCTTTCCTTGCTTGGGTCTCCCCACTCGTTCCATCCATCGGGCGAGACAACATTTGACAAGAAAGAATAGGCGAAGACAACCCTAGAGTAAGCTCCCCATGGTCTTCCAAGAAACGTGGAACCCAAGCCTGTTACCTTGCATCCCAAGAAAGTAAATCCCGACTTCTCTGTTGCCGATGACCTCATCTGCGCGGTTATTGATCCATTGTTCGACGATAACGAATGCAAATGGCACCTCTGCAATGATTCCAAATCATAGCGATCGAGATTCTACTTAGTCGAAACAAGATGTAGATTTTAATGCTTTGGGATATAATCGTAAGATGAAGAAATTAAATTCTCTGTGTAAAAATATCGGAGACTGACTTCAAAGAGAGAAGATGCACTTCCGCAGATGAAATCGGTGGCTCCCTCGATATAGCAGTTCTTGAAGTAATGATTTCCGTTGTCGTCAAGAAGAGTGTCTTGGTACGACTTTATTGCACATCCGTAGAAGGCCGCCCTCTCGGCAGCCACTCGCAGGGCCACAGCTTGTCCCGCCGTTCCAAACGTATTCTGTGACCATCCATAATTAGAATTCAATTCCAACATATCATACGATGTGTGTATATGGTACCTGAATAGTAAGAAAGCGGCAGACGAAATCGGAAGCAAAGACAGTGAGGGTGGGAGAAGCCAAGATGTCTTGGCCATCGTTCCATGTCAGTATGGTGTTGGAAGCTTGTGTTCCGCTCAGTGTTATGTAGGGTTTATCCTCAGCAACAACCACTTTCTCCCTAATTCATTCCATACCCCATTCCCAACATTATCAAACCTCATCATCACATGCCATGCACGTCCTTCATATATATATATATATATATACATATCATATAATATTATATGAGAAGTCTCGATTCATTAAATTAAGAAAAATCATAAGCACCTGTAAATTCCGGGTTTAACCCAGATGAAATACAGATGGGTATCGTTTAAATTAGGAGGAACAGCATCGATGGCTTCTTGAATCTTGGTGAAATCCCCTTTACCAGATTGATCGACCCTTATAAGGACTGCAGTCGAAAGATCTATGGAAGAAGAGGAAACCATATTGGAATAGAGCACAAAGGATATGAATGCAGAGATCAATCTGAATACATTGAAGATAGCCAAATGGTCTCTATGATAAAGCCCCGCTTTGGCCAAACCCATGTGCATTTTCACGTCTTGGCGATCGTGCATTAAAAAAAAAACAAGAACAAGAATCACACACAATGAATTAATTCGATTGGTGAAGCAAAGGTGTGACAAGAAATGTCAAAATGTTTGGTTATTACACAAAGGTACGTAATTTACCAGTATATATATATATATATATATATATATATATATATAATATGTGTTGAAAAAGTCAGATTTTGTGAGGTTGGCCAGCGGCCGATTTCTTATGGTTGAAGTTGAAATATTGCACTCTTCAAATATATTTATATATTTCAACCAACCATATACATTCGTGAAAATATATATATATATATATATATGTGTGTGTGTGTGTGTGTGTGTATATGCTCGTATAAATTCATATAAATGTAACTTTTTATATACAAGCGGTTCCTACACACATACTGATATATATTTATGTATATCTAGGTGTATATGCCATTTTTATAACTAACAAAATCAGTTTTAAAAAAAATCAAATTTGAGTTTATTGTTCATTTATATCTCACGTGATGCTTTTTATCTGCGCTTGTGTATGTATATAGTATATACACACAAATCCATGCATGTATACGTATGATAACATTAATTATAAGTTGAGTCGTAAGTATGTTTAGCTTATACGATTTAAAAAAGTAATTAGAGAATTCCTTTCGACGTACTTAATTAATTTACGCGTAAGGTTGGCGGCTCGCATGCTTTTCGCATTAGCATTTGCTCTCACCGGATATGCTTAATATAATTTTAGTATCCGCCTCCAGATTTTTGTAATAAAACGCATTCTCGATCGTTATATTATATATTTTTAATATATTTCGAATATCATTCTGAGAGCTAAAATATCCAGATTTGTATATAATTTGGCTAATGGTAATCCAATGTATTTTCTTTCTGACCGAAAAAAAAAGTCTTTTTTTAATATTTAATATATGACGAACCCTTGGCATTAATTATGAATCGGTACATTTAAATCTTGTACATTTAGACTAATCACTCGTCTGTCTTTGGATCAACGCAAAATATTGACCTAATTTTTTTTTTTTTTTTTTTTGACGTGTGTGATTTAAGTCAGCCTTAAAAGTGGTAATAATTAGGGGAAAACCAATTAAGATCAGACAGTCAAAGTAAACGACAGAACGTATAGAATGTTGGGTTTCTTTTGATCAGTTTTACTTATGCCTTTGGTGTTCACATATGTCAATAACAACCACATATTCCCAACTATTTTGTATAATTATCTGTAGATTTCATAGTTAATTGACTTTAGAATACAAAATGAATATATATATATATATATATACACACATACAAATACAACCAAACATCTATTAGTGGGTCATGAAGCAGGCCAATTTTTAAAAAGTAAAACCCCAAAATAAGCCCAATTTAGATTTTTGAATACATCCAAACGTATAACAATGGGTCATGAAGTGGGCCCAGCGAAAAGCAAGCCCATGAGGGTTTAGTTAATGTGAGGTCCATATGTCCGACCGTTGTGGGTCAATTTATAAATCTCTCGTCCAAAATATATCTGCACTTGTTCAAATCTGGAAAACTAATTCCCCAACTTGTACACTTTCATAATAAATAACCAACTTGATAAATTTGACATAAAAATACCAGAACTTGTAAAACATTGTCAAAAAAATTATTGACTAACGGTTGACCAGAAATATTGTTAAGAGAAGATGATGTGGTGATACACAAATATGTCAAACATTTTGCCATATCAGCAAAAATATGAAAATTAATTTCGACCGATTAAACCGGTTATACCGGACAGGCCAATCAGTTCAATAAAACAAACATCTTTTTTTCCCCTATTTCCCATTCGATCTCGACATTTAGAAACCTTCAACTTTTTTTTTTTGGTTTTAATAAAAACCTCTACCTTCATTTCTCTACTCTTCTTCTCCATTATTGAATAAGAAACTATCTTTCGATCCAGACATCTTTTTTTTTTTTCCAAACTTGAACTTATTTTATGTAATACTTTGAGAAGTCAAATTGCATTATTGTTGGTGTGATTTTTTTTTTTGGTAAAGCTAGTTTGTGATGTTGTATTCTGAGTTTGATATATTGTTTTATTCCTTTTACATGGATTGCTGCTATTGGATTCTCCTTGTGCCTATAAAGAATAGATATACAGAGAGACAATTTCAGAAGATTAAAGGAGAAGCGAAGAAGAAGCAGAAGTCAGAAAATACGATGAAGAAATGAAAATCAATACAGAAAGTATTAGTATGTACCCCTATCAAATTTTTCAAAGTCCTCGTAAAATGATGATGTCGACGACGAACATAAAAGAAGACAGCCGAAAAAGGGTAGAGAAATGAGAGTTAAAGTTTTTAAATATCGAAATCGAGGGTAAATAAAGAAACATCAGATTTTTTTTATTGAACCAATTGGTTGGTCCGGTATAACCGATTAAATCGGTCAAATTAATTTGCATGCTTTTATTGGCATGACAAAATGTTTTACAGGTCTGCTTACGTGTACCACATCATCTTCTCTTAACGGTATTTTTAGTCAACCTTAGCCAATAATTTTTTTGACAACGTTTTACAAGTTCTGGTATTTTTGTGTCAAATTTATCAAGTTGGATATTTATTATGGAAGTGTACAAGTTGGGGAATTAGTTTTCCAGATTTGAACAAGTCCGGGAATATTTATGGGATTAACTCCATTTTATTTGTATGTAAAAATTGAATAATTATAATATGCTGGAAGGAACATGGGTATATAGAGACGGACGGGACACAAACCAACTATTTTTATATAGTATATTTAATATTTATTAATGCGATAAAATACGAAATTTAAACCAAAACCCGAGAATGCGTTTGTTTCAACTTTCACCCACTGAATCAGGCAGGCCCATTGTATTTTTGTTACCAGGCTTTAACTCGCAAAACGATACGTCGTCGTTGTACCGACTTGCTCTTCAAGGACATCGATTAGACTGGCTTATTCCCCACGATAATTAACTATATGACGTGTCTTTTTTTAATTGGGTTTTATTTCCTCTGTGGTACATTTTTTCTGCGTGTCATAACCAATGGTCCAATTGTGTGTCTCTCTTACTGTACTCTCGTCACAGGAGATTATTGTCGAAACTCTGTATAAATACTCTCTTCTCTCTCCACCCCACAGCGGTGAAGTCTGTAGAAGGAAAGGAAGCCCAACTAAGGTAATTCCAGTCTCCAACCTGTTCTTCACTTTTGGGTTTATTGATTTCTTTTCTTCGTTTAAATTCAGTGAGGAAAAGCGGGTGATTTCCGGTGTTGTTTTAAATTGATAAAATTATCTTTCGATTCTGTCCGCTTTTAGCCAATTATACGTTTGGGGATAACGAAATTTGTGGTTTTTGTCTGGGTTCTTGTTATCGAGGTTGTATCTTGTGTTGTTCCCTCGGGATATCGGTTTCTGTCTGCCATTCTGTCTAATAGTCAGTTGGGTATTCTTTTGTAATAATCGCTGTGAAATTTCTTACTGCGGGTGTATTTGCAATTCGATAGAGTGAGACCCGATTTCTTATTTTGGGTTCTGTTCCCGAAACTGCGAAGATGTAAGTACTCTCTACCGTATTCGTGAGCGAGATGGATTTAAGTTGAGGTTTTGTTGTGATGCTGAGATTGTAAACAAAATGGTGAAAATGTCCAAAAGTGTTGTTGCTTCTTTCTGGGTTTGATCGATCACTATATGTGAGGACTTTATGCTTGTGGCTGTGATGAATCTGCTGGCTTTCGTCATCCATTGTCTGTGGTTTGGGCGGGTCTCAATGGTGTGAAGTCTATTACTTATTTGAGGAAAAATTACATGTCGAGTAACATATGTGGGCGATTCTTGTGACTCGGGTTGATGATCGTATTCGTGTTGGACAGGCATAAATGGAGACCCAGAAAAATCAAGCTGAAAACCCACCACAACCGGCCACAACTTCATGTAGGAAGAAGGTGAAGGATGATGCCACTTTCCTTGAGGACCTGAAGGATCACATCGACGAGTTCATCCATGCCTCCATGGATGAACACAAGACTTGTTTCCAGAAGACCATCAAAAAGGTTTCTTTCCCCTATCACCTGCACCTGGTTGTGTCTTATCAGAATCTGAAATCTGATTGATATGCTGTGATTTCTAACAAGCTTTTTACTTGGGGTCGTTTATATTATATCAGATGTTCGGATTATCAAAGGCTGTAGCAGAAAAGGCTGAGGCTAAGGAAGTCGAGAGTCACTTGCCACTTCAGACAGCAGTGTCTGATTAGAGAAATGGGTTCCACCATCTTCATCTTTTGTGGTTAAAAAATACGATGCTGTTTGTTTCTAGTTGTAACCGCAGTTTCGGGTTTCAGTGTAGATCGACCTTCTGTGGTCGAGGAAAATAGTTTTTGTTTTTCGATGAGATTTTGTTCAATTTTATATCAGTTTCGAAAATTAATTTCACACCGGTATGGAGCTCTGCTTTCAAAGGCTGTATTAAGTCAAATGGTCGAATGCCAAAAACTCCATCAAAGGGTATCCATATTTCAGTGAAAGAAAGTGAACCCACCATTCTCCTAACCAGGTACATTGGTGTACCTTCTGGTGTGGTCGTCCCAATTTAATGGCAAAACATATGATGTAACTTTTAATAATAACAAGAGAAAATGATACAAAATAAATTCCAAATATGTAATATTAATACATCAATTTTTAATTTGACAATTTTTCACACTTGATTTCAAATTTTCCTATTTACCCCTACAAAATGAGAAAAAAAATTCTACGGAACCGATTTGTTGATATATCATGTGACGCCGCATATTTTATAATGTGTTTGAGTCAAATCTGCAATGGGATGTTTAGTTGACACCATCAATATAGATAATTAGAATTTTTTTTATTTTATGGGGGTAAATGGAAAATTTTGAAATCATATTGATAGGTGGGAAATTGTCAAATTGGTGTACTGATATTTGACTAAACCCGCGTGGATTTATATCATTTTCAATAATAATAATGATAAAAATAATAAGTTAAAAAAATAACAATAATATAATGATGGTGGTGGTTATTGGGCGGGCTTCATTGGAAGCCCAATAACCGAGCTAACCGACATGGATACACACATCTATCGCCTGGTTTCTAAACTGTTTTTGTTCTTGTGGGCATTTTTGGTTTTCCAAATATATAGGTAGGCTATTGGTTTCTCAACCGTTTTTTTTTTCATATTTTTTTTAAATGGTTTGTATAACCATTAGGCTTTTATATTGACTAATAACGATCAGTTCTTACAAAACAGCGCGTTAGTTAAATAATCAAAGGTAAGCATTTAGCTTTATATAATTTTATTTTAGATATTATATTTAAATTGTTTCCCATTTCAAAATGATTTTTTTTTTCAGATGTACAAATTGAAGTGCATGCATACCAAAAAGGCAACCAGCACTAGTTTATTATTATTTTTTTCAACGTGGCTCGTTATATTTGTAGGTTTGGTGTGTCAATATCAAGCGTTGGGTTCAACTTCTTAGCATAGAAGCATGCATGGTTTTTTTAATCAATCTTTTCAATATCATATAATTTTACATCGTTTTCAATGTCGTGGCCGCTTCTATTGGCCTATTTCCTTGTCCTCATCACAAAGTTTGACCTTCACATTCACATATATTATCAAAAGGGCAATTAATTGCCACCATTTTATTTTAAAAATACTCGTCGTCGTATCATATTTATTACAATCCGATTGAAACTTCTCCAATACATATGACAATGGCATTTATGTAACCCGAAAATTAATTACCTAAATGGTAATATAGCTAAGCATAATATATATATATATATATATATATATATAATTATCCTGCAATCTTTATAGATTATAATGAGGAATTAAAACGCGTTATTTAACAAAAAGAATGCACATTCATTAATTTATCATCTAGTTTATCTAAACGCATGCTAATGGTATGGTTGACATAGTTAGCTAATCAGTCATTCACATACAAATTACATTTAAAAATTTTACCAAAAAAAAAAATGCATTTTAAAAAACCAAGTATACATACAATACAAGTCACGGCATTAACACACCAAAGGTAGACCACTGGGCGAATAAGAAAATTGCAATTTGGCGACAAAGTCTCAAGCACGACCAAGTCAAGCTGGTCCAAGCGACCGGTCCATGCACATGTCACGTGACGTGAGATGCGGATTCCTCCATATAAACATGCATATTCGGCATAAGATCAATACTACATACTTTATTATTATTGTTGTTGTTATTATTATAATTATTATTGGTAAAGAAGACTACATATTTTATTCACATATACATATATATATATATATATATATATTGCTCACCTTTCATACGCATGCAACTTCATTGCAATCTCCTTTCCAAGATTTCGGTCTGCTTTAAAGTTTTTTAATCATTTGTAAGATTTTAAATTATTTTTCAACCGTGGTTAACGTACCTAAACCGAATTTAACTATAATATGCTTGGTGTGTGAATTTCTTTCGCACGCGCCCGGAGAATATGCGGTATGGAAGCAAATATTCTGCCACGTGGACGGTCACGATCGTCTCTGGATCGACCCACTCTCGGACCACGGCGGGTTCCGCCTACCAATACAAATCAGTAACTACTAATTTAAGAGCGCGCCGCGCGCGAGTCGATTGGTTATGCTTACGTCATAAAGATGACGTCATCTGCTTACGTACGTATCGAGAGAGTATACAATAAAAGATATTTAATAAAAAAGGGATCCAATATGCATCAAGATATGGGAGAACTGCATAGTGGCGGTCACATATAATTGAAAACTATACGTATTATTTAATAATAGTTGGAAAGGTCTAATGGCATATTTTATCATAAAGATGCAATTAAATGGACCATGAGTGATATATTTCCCAATAAAAAAGGATGTTGATGGATTGATTTCCTATATTTTTCTGTCTTTTAGTACATTTTTGTTAGAAGGTTTATATTTTTATAAAGTTTCTTGTAGTGCTAATGTTCATTAAAAACATTAATATATACATAATATATGCATGTTGTAGGGACCAAAGATATACCGGATCAGCCCGGCATTTCATTGGAGGAATCTAAAAAAAAGGGTTAAAATCGAAAGAGTTGCGTGGAAAAGCGACTTTTTCTACCTTTCAAGATCTTTTAAAATGAAAAATAAAATAAAATAAAAATCATATGTCGTTAGCAAATGGATGTTTTATTAAATGAAGAAGTTTCCTTGAATCTGCGTGGGAAAGTAGTCATTTCCTTAGATTTTGTTGTTATATATAACAGTACCCATTGAACGATTTTCGTGCTCTCCTCCGCTTTTGCTGCGAAGTCCCACCACTATCCCCTTCTAAGAAATGAACTTCCCTTCGAACCCTAACCCTAGTTTCACGGAACTCGACTTCCATCTCGATTTTTACAGCGTTTCGGATATTTTACTGATGATGGAAGACGACGAAAGCAACCGCGAGGGCTCACCCTCATCCACATGGAGTGCAAACTCGTCGGAGAAAGTCACTCCCGACGGCACAAGTCCACCGACAAGCGTGGCTACGTCGTTTGTGAGCCATGACATGCAAGTCTCTCGTGTACATATATATTTATACTCGTGTAGATGTGTAGTTCGTGTTGGTGAATGTTACTAACCGAGATTTGTTCTAAAATTTCTCGATGGTCTCAGTGGAGAGAGAGAGGAGAGGAAGAAGAGGAGACAGGGAAATGCGCCGATCCACGTGTTCAGGACGAAATCGATTGATGAAGACATGTTGGATGATGGGTATAAATGGAGGAAATATGGCAAGAAACCGATTAGGGGAAGCCCTTATCCGAGGTACGCACCTCTCAGACTTTGACATAATATCGTTCCTTAGATATGGATACATACATATATATATATATATATATATAATAATATAATTAACTCAATATCGTTTAATAATGATATGTGTGTGTGTGTGTGTGACAACTTGGAATTTAGGCAAGTTATTAAACTCTTTAGCCTTTTGTGTCTCACAAGGGACCAATTTGCTTTTACATAGTACTACTTGTACATACTTAACTTAATTTGGATTTTGTTCAATAACTTGCATGTGTCTCTGTGTTCGCTTAATTAAAAAATGTAACTATGCTGTCTTATATTGGACGCCATAGATTCTAGCGTATCCTCATAAGACCACGGTTCAAATTAATGATAACTTAATGTTTTCCATAACCACAGTGATTACATATATAAACTTATCTTATAGGATAAATTTATATATATAGATAAATTTATGCATATATATATATATATATATATATATATATATATGATGGTGTTTGGGAGAAAAAAAATGATGATGATCTATTTGAATGGAAAGGAGATAAAAGAAAGACTATTTGCGTTTGTAATAAAGCAAGCAAAATTACATATGAAGAGCTCACTCAAGCTATACGTGGACAGCTTAACATAGATTTGGGAACGCCAAAGTTAAGCTTCGTACCAATGGTTTTCGATGGAAAACAACCAGAATACATATTGGATGATATGGGCGTAAAATCATTTATGTTCAGCAAAAGTAATGGACGCCGAGGATGGTTGTATGTAGAGTTGACAGATAATGATGGATTGAACGGAGAAAATAATGGTAAGCATATTGAATCTCATATGACTGTGAATGTAGATGATCTCAGAGTTGAAGTCGAAGTTGAGACGAATGGTAGGGAAGGAAGAAAAGAAAACGAACTATGTAGTTCTGTTGTGGGTTGTGTGGTGGAAGTTGTAGAGAACGAGATTTTGCAAGATGGAGAAGATGAAGAACAACATGCGGTGATGAATGAGTTATATAATGCAATTACAGCAGAGATAGATAATCCAGTTGGGACTCAATTAGATCATGCAGTTGCAACAGATATAGATAATCTAGTTGTGATTGAACGTACGTAGATCTACAGTCTTTTAGAAGGTGGTCAACATGTAATTATTTTCACATAAAGAAAATGTATTCATATCTTCTAAATATGTCCACTTGTCGCAAGTTGTAACATAAGTAATATCTGTCGTGGGTGTTGGACACCTTAACTATTATGCAAGTGGACAGACTTTGATGTTTATAATTATCCTATACAATAATTAAACGGAAATGTTGGGGGTCCAAGTACGGACCTATTTTTACTGTCAAATGCATATAGTTTGCTTGCTGCGAAAATATATAAAAAAAAAGAAGAAAATATCGATTTCGACAGGCATTATCACAGGTGTTCGAACCCAAATTGCGTAGTGAAGAAGAAGATAGAAAGAGATATTGGAGATCCGGATTATGTCCTGACAACGTACGAAGGAAAACACAACCATGGAAGCCCTTCCGTGGTGTACTGCGAGCCTGACGAGATCGAGTTCATGTCTCGAAATGGTTGGTGCTTTCAGAACAACTCCAATCTCTCTCGCTCTGCTCCATGACCAATGATCATACATGCCTGTGAATATAGATCTATACATGTTTTCGTTGCGTGTGTATATATATTGTATGATCATTAGCGTATATATCCCTCAGTCGTCGTCATAATCTAGACGTTACCACGAAATGATATGTAAATGTACATGTACATGTAGTTGTTAGGGTGAATGTGTTGGTTTGTTTGTGGGAGGTGGTATCATAAATTAATAAATTTTGTATGATGAAAATGCGTTGATGCTTATAAATGTTTATAGATGATTACGAAACATGTAACAATGAACCCAAGTTTATGTGGTCTAGTGGTGAGAGAACATGCAAAGCATGCTCTCACTCTGGATTCAAACCCAAGCGTGGAGAGAGGCATTCACCTGGATTTCTCCGGTCCTCTGAGAGATGTAGTCGGACCAAAGGCCCGGTGAACTTCCGGATTATAAAAAAAAAAAGATAAACAAACATGTAACAATTGATACATATTCGAGGCTTATTTTGTGTGGATCAATATCCATTTTTCATCAACTATTTTATAGGCTTTTTAAAAAGGAATATACAAAAGTATAAATCTAGGCCGACAAGTTCTAGATGGGCCAGGGATTTCGGCCCAAGGTTGTTTGTCTACACGTCCACGCCCCTCTGTAGCGCGTGCTTTTAGGTTTTACGTCTCTTAGTCATCACGGCTTTAAAACCATGCTTCATACGAAGAATAACAGAGGGAACTAACTCTACTTTTTGCCCTTCAATGGCTGTAATGTCAAAGTTCTCGAGTATTTCCAAAGCAGCTACCTTCATCTGCATTAGGGCAACTTGCTTACCTAAGCAAGTTCTTGGACCGGCGTTAAACGCTGCGAACTTGAAAGAAGGCTCGTGTCTCGACCCTCCGCTGTCTGAAATCCATCTCTCGGGTTTGAAATCCGACGCGTCGTCACCCCATACTGATCTCATTCTCCCCAACGCGTAGTAAGATAACACAATCTTTGAGTTGGCTTCAACTCTGTGGCCGCTTGGAAGGACATCTGCTTTTGCAGGGGACTTGTGCTGGAACGGAACTGGTGGATACAGCCTTAGGGTTTCGCAAACTGCGCCATGTAGATACACTAGATTGTTCAAATCAGATGCGTTGAATGACCTGTCCTTGTCTAATTGGCTTATGGGTCTTGGAAGTATTGTACTGATCTCTTGTCGGACCTTTGCCATTGCTTTAGGGTTTCTTGAGAGAAGCCAGAAGAACCATGTGAGACCAGAGCTTGTGGTGTCTCTCCCAGCAACCATGAATGACAGAATGGTGTCCCTGAGAAATTTATCATCGCTAGGGTTTAACAGGTCGTATTGGGTTGTATCTATCTCCATGTAATACGACAACAAGTCCATTGCTTCTCCTTCCGAGTGAATTCCCCGGCTTTTTTCCTCCCTTTTCGCACGGATATGATTCATGCATTCCCGATTAGCAACGGTGATAGCATTCCTCATCTTCTTCTCTACTCCAAACCCTAACCAGTGCTGCAACTTCCACAGGATTATCGGCTTTAAATGTCTGTATAAAACCACTTCCCCGGCGTCCTCCACAGCGTTACCAAACTCAACACGTGGCATCTCGATGGATAGACTCTTGGGATCGTGCCCAGTTGCCAAAATTAGGGTTGTATCGAACGTGTATCTCTGGAACACATCTTGCAAGTCTACGACTATATTTTTCTCGGCGGCTTGATCAAGAAGAGGTAAGAGCCCATTCTTCACCACGCTTTCGCTGGAACTCAGAGTAAACTTTTGGAAATCTTGACGGCTCAGCAAAGAGTGAGCCGATCTCCTCAGATTCTTCCACAACTCAAAGTCCGAATTGAATATCCCATCTCCCAAAACGTCGAATATCTTCTTGAACTCGGGTCCTTTAGGGTAATTAGCGAAGTTTGAACTCAGCACGTGGCGAATATTCGCAGGATCAGAAGTGAATAACAAGTCTGTCCCAGAGAACAAAGGCCCTTTGAAAAGAAGAGTCATGGCCGTGGCTTCAAGAACGTCGACGCTCCAGTCGTAAAGACGAGGGATCTCGACGAGCAGACCAGGAAGCATGCCGAGAAACGGCCAGTCCGTGAGCAATGCGTGGTGAGTTTTCTTGTTGAGCAATAAACGGAATATGAGGAAGGAAATGAATGCTGCGGATACTTCAAGAAAGCCTATCAAAGCCATTTGGGACAAGGTTGGGTTACTGTGTAGTGTATGTCCGTGAGAAAGCTCAGTGTTGTTTTATTGCTCAATATATATATATAGACGTAGTAGTTATTATGGAAGATATTACTAAATAATGCCCTTTGATTGATAACGGAAGACTTTATGGCACCCCGTTATTTACTCTTAAAGATTTTCAGCCGCGGTCCGTTTTAGTATGTAATATATATAGATATATATATGTACTATTCGACATATATATATTGAAATATTTATGTACGTATAAAATATATTCAAATATCAAATACTACGATTAAAGTTGGGTACGATTTTATGAATAATACGAAAAATAAAAGGACCTCGATTTGGTTCCTATATATTTTATTGGGTGTATATTCTGATCTGGATATATTGATATATTATTATAATTTCACGCATGAAAATAAGAGGATATATATATATTAATATATATCGAGGCCCGAGGAAAGTGACGATAAGCTCATCAATTATTTCGTAACAGAATCAAATGGCTGATGCCGTGACTTCCAATCCCAATGTATATATTCTTTTTATGAGTTTAAATTATAGTTTTCAAGATTTATAAGCGTTACAATTGCATCTGGAAAAAGTATCAGATTAAAATCAACGGAACAAAAGGAGTATGTCCATAAATTCGGGCACGAGATGATATTGACAAAAACTATATAGGCCCATATATAAAATGAAACAAAGATTTCTAGCTGATTAATATCTTATTTAGCTAGGTCCAACCCAAACACATAAAGCCCGGGCCGGAGGCAAGGCATCATGTCTAATACATACAAGACAATGAAGACATAATCCCTCTTCCGTCTTTGTTTTTACAAAGTTTTGTTACATCGACTCGTGTTCACTATAGACACAATAACACGGGAAAGACAACATATGCTGAATATTTTTATAAGCAGAAAAAAATATTTATACGGCGACTGGGATACGTTAGATGGGTCAAAGGGACACGATCGAACAATCTCAGCCGTTGATTAATGGTGCAGAGGTTAATATTCAGCGGACCTCTTGATACTGCTAGCGCTGGGTCGCTCAGATAGAGATCTCAACTTTGCACGAACGAACCCTAATTTGGGTCAATTGCTCAAATGCCCTTTTCGTGTCGCATGGATAACAAGGGTACACCTAAAAAAACGGAACATAATTTTCTTTCAGCTGGTACACTTCTTTTTAGTAAATTGTCTAAAATATCCTTATAAATGAAAAGACTGTATTGCCCTTCCTTCCCAAAAAAGTGAGATTTTAATAATCAGTAAAATTAAAACCTTTATTACAGTTCATTTTTGAAATTCTTCACCCATTCACTCATCCTTCGACGATTTCTTTTTCATCATCGTCACTATTTTATCAATCTCAAGTCACATGTATATGCGTTTAATATTTTGAATATCTGGAAGCAAAATGGACGGGTAAGTTACAATGGAAATAAAACCCATTGATTTTCAACCATTGTTATGACTTTTTTATTTTATTTTAGGGTTTCTATATTGATGATGGATAATGATAATTTTACAGCAAAATTTGTGTTTATGGGGTTTTAGGGAGCTTATTATGGTTGTATTTGTTGGATTTCATCTGTTTCACGACGATTATTAAAGAAAGGATAAATGTTGGTCGTATATATAAACATATAGTCGTAAATATAACATCGTTATATAGTTGTAACAATAAAGTAAGAATATGGTCGTAAGAATAAGTCGTAATGGTCTGGATTTTTCACTCTCAGATTGTGTTACATTTTGGACAGGATTGAAGATATTGCGGAAGATTGTTATACACCTATTTCTATCCGATATGATGGTGTTTGGGAGAAAAAAAATGATGATGATCTATTTGAATGGAAAGGAGATAAAAGAAAGACTATTTGCGTTTGTAATAAAGCAAGCAAAATTACATATGAAGAGCTCACTCAAGCTATACGTGGACAGCTTAACATAGATTTGGGAACGCCAAAGTTAAGCTTCGTACCAATGGTTTTCGATGGAAAACAACCAGAATACATATTGGATGATATGGGCGTAAAATCATTTATGTTCAGCAAAAGTAATGGACGCCGAGGATGGTTGTATGTAGAGTTGACAGATAATGATGGATTGAACGGAGAAAATAATGGTAAGCATATTGAATCTCATATGACTGTGAATGTAGATGATCTCAGAGTTGAAGTCGAAGTTGAGACGAATGGTAGGGAAGGAAGAAAAGAAAACGAACTATGTAGTTCTGTTGTGGGTTGTGTGGTGGAAGTTGTAGAGAACGAGATTTTGCAAGATGGAGAAGATGAAGAACAACATGCGGTGATGAATGAGTTATATAATGCAATTACAGCAGAGATAGATAATCCAGTTGGGACTCAATTAGATCATGCAGTTGCAACAGATATAGATAATCTAGTTGTGATTGAGTTAGATAATGCAGTTGCGGCTATGAACGAAGGATTTTCATTCGAAGACAGATTGCGCTTTACAGTGGGTAAAGAGTTCGTGGATAAGGTTGAGATAAAGATGAAGGTTGAGAAAGCTTCACATGATGCATGTTTTAAATACTATGTATATAAGTCGGACCGATATTTATGGGAAGCAAGATGTGCATTCCGAAGAAAAGGTTGCTTGTGGAGATTGAGAGCAAGTAGAAAAAAGAAATCTGATTGTTATATAGTGAAGAAGCATGTTAATGTTCATACTTGCTCGCCGTTGTTACAAGAAGAAAATGAAACTAAAACAAGCAATGGAACTGTAGATATGGTTGTCTCTTATTTAAGAAGACATTATGCGGGTCAAATTGATCTTCCAAGTGCAAAAAGGTTAATGCGCTTGGTGGGCAAAGCTTATAGATGCAAAGTGGCATACATAACAGCATGGAGAGGGAGACAACGTGCTCAAAACCTTCTCGGATCTGTGCTCGCCAAAGTGTTTTATGTAAAACTCAGGCCCTCCAATTGCTTCCCAATTTTCAGACAATTCCGAACATTTTAAGCCCGACAAAATAGCATGCTCCCACAAGGAATACCGAATCGGAACTCCATTAATAACAAACCACAACTCCTTTTCTTTAGTCGTCCTTACTGATCGGTTTATCAATGCCACCATTAAACTCATCTTCAAAGTCTGATTTCTCGGCATATGGAAAATATGTCTTAATTGGGATTCTTTTGTGAAAAATACAATCTCTTCATTGGTCATATATTTTTCAAGAAAGTTTACGGCATCTATATGGAAACACTTCGAAGATACCTTGACCGATATTTTGTTCATGTCATCAAACTTAAAAAAGAATTTTGGTTTGGGTGCATCATCATCAATCTGTAATAAAATAAATCAATTCAGTTGCATATATAAAAATAGATTAAATTCCAATTCTTATAACAAGTTAACTGACTGATTCAATTCTAATTTTTATAACAAGTTCACTGACTACTTTATAAGGGATAATCAATTTGCAACTTTTATTTACAACCACTTGCAACTTTTATTTACAACCACTTTACAATCCAGTCAAATCCTCTAATTACACCAATTTCTGCCTCATTTGGAATCATTTCATTGTTTGTTGAATTATTTTCCCTTTCGTTGAATATATAACAAATTCCTAAATATCTAAAACCTAATTATAAATGCTTATACAAATTGAAAGTTCTTACAGGTGTTGTCAAAGGTGAAGTCGCTCTCTTTGAACTCTTCAACCCTTCTTTTTCAGCTGGTGAAGAGGAACATGACCCACTCTGGCTTGAGTTCTCCGAAGAAGAACTGTTAATACTCGACGATGACATCTCTGTTTTTCTGTTTGTTGAAGGTGAAACAGAACTCTCTCTTCGTTACTCTTACCGGAATTATGTTGTTGTTGAATCTGTTACCGAAATTTCTCTAACTCTCCATCTCTTTTTTTCTCTCTGTAAAAAACCCTAAAATTTACAGGTTCTGTCGAAAGAGGAGGTTGTCGCACACGTTTTTAGGGCACATTTCATTAAGGTTATAAAAGTCTTTTATCTTTTTCTAAGGGTAATATGGACAATTGATAAAAGAAAATGGCGCTCGCTTCTCGGATAAAGAAAATGGCGCTCGCTTCTCGTTTCCTCTCTAGATCGAAGCAGGTTTGTTGCCTTAGATTCATTCAACTTATTCGTCATCGTTTCGCGATATCGTTATTTGGGCCCTACCTCCCTCCCCCTCCCCCTCCCCCTCCCTCTCCTATTCGATTTCTCGTGTTTCACTTCCTGCATCTGTTCGATTCGTTTTGGTTCTCTGATCATTGCGATTAAGTGACGATGGGAGTGAACTGATGGATCTTTGGGAAATGGACGAATTTAGTCAGCGGGTGTTTAGCATTTCCGAGTTATGCGTCTCAAATGCTGATTTTTAGCTAACCCGTATGCAATGTCGATCGTAGAGTTTTGCGGGACAAATTGGGTGATATCTTCTATTGTATGGCGCCTTAAGACTGCTGATTTGTTGTTGAGGGTTTTTTGATCCTGAGATTTTTGTTCATTCTGAGCTGCCAAATTACGCTTGTTAACGGTGAAAAAGATTATTTCTAATTAGATGATGAGCAGTATTCCAGGTTAATGTTTGGTAAACGTCAAAGTCTATCCGTTCTATGGTCAGTGTTCGGTATCAATTGGTGTCTGTTCTTTTGTTATGCTTATGCTCATCTTCAGCTTTGTATTATACTATTAACAATTATGCAGGTCCATGGTAGTCTGGTCGCCTTGCAACAGCATCATGCTATTCCTGTCCGCTCCTTCGCCAAGGAAGCTGCTCGCCCTACATTTAAAGGAGACGGTAGGCGGATAAACTGGAATAATTGATTCGTATAGAACATTATGTTTGTTCTTTAGTTTATATTTATCTGTACTTGATGCAACTGATTTTCCTTGCATGTTCAGTGTCTGAATTGAGTACTCATGCCTGCACGCTGTTTTGGCATTGTCTGTTTTCGTATGTTTAACTCTACATGCTTCTGTCCATGCAAGATAGTTCAGTCGTTTATTGAATGTGAATTCCGTAGAGAAAATGATCCAATAATCCATTGCAAGATAGTTATTAAAAAAAAGTCCGGTGGTGATTTATCTGACCGAGGCTCTATCCATGGGAAGAGGTGGATTATCTCTCACTTTCTTCTATTGGAAAATCCTTGTTATTCGCTTGCTCCTCTGAGTGATGTATTTTGGTTCATTTTCCTATAATATCTTTTAGGTGTTCATAGTGATCTTAGATTGCTGTGTTTTACATGTACTAATGAAGATTTTGTACATGCTTAATAGAGATGTTGAAGGAAGTCTTCATGGAGATCAAGACCAAATTTTTGGCTGCAGTTGATATTCTTCGTAAAGAAAAGATCACCATTGATCCAGATGATCCAGCTGCTGTACGACAGTATGCGAATGTCATGAGGACAATAAGACAAAAGTAGGATTCTTGCTGTTGTTCAGCTTTAATTGTTTGTTTTGTTCTGTCATGGCATGCATTTTATTCTTGGTTTCCTTTTCAGTTTCCCATTAACTGCGTTGATGTAAGGGTATTATTTTACTTAGGTTGACTAGGTTGCTTATTATGCCTTTTCATGGTATGTAGGGCAGAGACGTTCTCAGAATCTCAACGGATTCAGTTCGATATCGAGACTGAGACTAAGGAGATTCCAGATGCCCGTGAATACTTATTGAAGTTGCAGGAAATTCGCCAGAGGTGGGTGTTGGACTTTGAATTTATCTGACTCGCGGTTTTAAAAGTTTTTTGTTGCCACTGAACTGAAGTTTCTCTTATATTTAGTCTAACCACACCTGGCAGTAAAATAAATCCTCTCTACTATTTTAGAAATACCATGTCAATGGTCCTGTAATACATCAAATTCTATCGTTGAAGAAACAAAATATTTGTAATTTTGGTTATATTTTCATGTCATTGTAGTCACTTTCTTTTTGTGGTATAATTTCTATAGGAGGGGCCTTTCTGATGAGCTTGGTGCCGAGGCTATGATGTTTGAGGCTCTCGACAAAGTTGAAAAGGAAATAAAGAAGCCTCTTTTGAGAGACGACAAGAAAGGAATGGCTCTTTTAATGACAGAATTTGACAAAATCAACAAGAAGTAAGCATTTACTATGGCCCCATAAGATGATGGTTACATATTTAGTTCGATAGGTTACTTTATTGTTGTAGGATTATGAACTGCAAGATCCCTATGGCCCATAAGATGGTTTCATATTTTGCTAAAAAAATGTTTTGGCTCTCGCTTTGGCTGCCTTTGCTAAAAAAAAATGTTGCTCAATGGTTGGCTTTTGATTAGAAATGATTGAACCATTATCATCGGTGTCTGTCCAAAGCTTGCTCTTTGAGTAACATTTTCCGCATCCCATCTGGACACAGGATTGGAATCCGAAGGGAAGATCTTCCCAAATATGAGGAAGAGTTGGAACTCAAAATTGCCAAAGCACAGTTGGAGGAGCTGAAGAGTGATGCCGTTGAAGCCATGGAAGCTCAGAAAAAGAAGTAAGTTGCTTCCTGTCCTTCTCTGCCTTGAATCCACACTTGGGTTCGTTTTAAATTAATCAACTCAAAGTCATTCCACATAGTTGGAAAATTTCCTCGTACACGTTTGTCATATGTTAACCTCTTCCGTTGTAAAATAACAAAAAAAATTCAGGGAGGAGTTCCAGGACGAGGCTATGCCGGACGTGAAGTCACTGGACATCCGTAACTTCATATGAGGTTTAGTCTGAACTGAACATTTGATTCGTTTTTGTGATGTTGTCTCTCAGTCTCAGACAGAAGGCAACTGATCCTTTAATAAACGCACCAGGATCCAAAAGTGGTCGCAGCCAAATGGGTTTGCTTCTTCTTCTTTTTGTTCATACTGTTCGTTTTTTCAACACTCCAATCTGCATAATGACGCATTCTTCCATTTGATGGAAGAGCTGGTAATTATGAGAGCAGACGGTAACTAGTGCTGTCGGATAATTACCATGTATCATGTTTAACGGCAGAGGTTGAATAGGAGTTTTCGAAACGGCCTTGCTGCTGCTGTGTGATGATATAAATTTAACTGTAGGAATTTCAAAAGAATATGAATGTGAACATTCAATGTCACCACAACCCAAGAATCTCGAACATTCATTGAACAAATACGCACATAATATTAAATCAAAATTAATAGACTATATTATTGGGGCACTTTGCAAAGTCTAAATGTGTTTCTTTCTTTCAAATGTTTTCTACTTGTCACTTATTTATAATCGATACCAAACATTTATCACGGCGCTTTTGCCTTTCCAGTGTATTTGTTTGATCCATGCGATTGTGTATGAAAAACATGATCATTGAAAATATTGCAAATCACGTGCAAGAAGCCATTGCCAACTAATTTCGATTGGACAGCCTACAACAATCATATCTAACTCGCAAGATATTTTCTGCTTCGACATCCAAAAATCTTTTATCATTTATTTTTCATATTAAATGAATTTTAATGTGTTTATGCGTGACTTTTTCATTTTTATTTTTCAATGTAAAATTCTTTCAAGACCCTCGTTCGTCGTTTTGTTATTCCATTTGAAGTGAAAGGAGATTTACATGCGTATCAAAGCATAATACCTTACAAGATATATAACGAGAGCAAAAGAAAAAAAGTTGGGCTATTCGTATTGAGGCCCATTAATATCTTACCTAAGCCCGCTAATGCTTTAATAGGCCCCATTAAATTATTTCTTGAAGTAATCACCTATGAACAATATCTTGGCAATCTATTCAAATGCAATGCAACGTTTAATCAAGCAAATCAAATACAACAGACATGCATGGTTTATATCTTAGTTCTCATATTATTCAAGTCCTTCATCTTCCGAGTAACCTAAGCAATGCGTTGGAAACCAAAGCTAAAGGGAAATAATGTATTTGTTTTCATTTATGAAATGTACTTTAAAATACAAACATATAGAGAGATTACGTGAAAAAAAAGGAAATGTAAACGTATGCGACCTAGAAATACTATATATATATATATTAGCTGTCATCCAAGTGATTCCAAATTAATAATAATTTTATTTAATTTAATTTTCAATAACGTGAAACTAAATGATTTTTATTCACAATCTAAAATATTTAATCATTTAATTTTTAATTTATTTGACTGTTATGTGTTTATCTAAAATATTTTTTTAAAAATTCCCCGATATAATAATAAACGATCCCCTTCCATTTCGTTACGTGTACGACCCGGGTTAACTGGAAGGCAATTATCTTCTCTGGCTACTTAAATGCACCACACCACCACATGGGTTGACTCTAACTGGTTCGATTGGAGATTTGTTGAGTCGAAATTGATCAATTTTTTTTTTTATGATTACAAGAAATAATTCAATTAAAAGATTAGACAAATAGATGCATGAGACATGCAAGTTACGGTTCGTTTGTTTTTAAAGTTTGATAACTAATAATACATAATAGAGTGGATCAAACTACAAGCAAGCCCCGTGTGTCTGAATCGCATATAAATGATTAAAGCCCATCGTGTCTATCACGAACCCGACTAAAACCTTATCTTCTAATGGCTTCCATTGCCTTTCTTGAAATCTCCATAGCATTCATTAGCCTTCTCGCCTTTTATTTCTTCATAAACAAGAAACCCCATGAATGCTTCCCGAGGAACCTGCCGTTTCTAGGGATGCTTCCGGGTCTTCTCGTAGCGTTCGATCGATTTTACGATTTGGCGGTCGATGTTCTTGAGAAATCCAACATGACATTTCCTTTCAAGGGCCCTTGGTTCATGGGAATGGACGTGCTGGCCACCGTCGATCCTGCCAATATTCACCACGTAATGAGTTCAAACTTCGGCAATTACCCGAAAGGAGACGATTTCAAGGAGATCTTCGATGTGATTGGCGACGGGATTATAAACGTGGACGGAGAGTTATGGGAGAATCTGAGGAAGTCGACTCTAGCAATTTTCAGCCATGAAGGGTTTAAAAGGTTCTCGATCATTGCCAACGTAAAGAAGGTGAAGAAGGGGCTTATACCTTTTCTTGATCACGTCGCAAAGGAAAACATGGTCGTGGATTTGCAAGATGTGCTCGAGAGATACGTGTTCGACACCACATGTATTACGATAACGGGGTACGACCCTTCGAATCTCTCCGTTGAAATGCCCGAGGTCGAGTTTTATGCGGCTCTCAATGATGCCGTGGAGGCGATTGTGTATAGGCATGTTAAGCCGAGAATCTTGTGGAAGCTCCAAAAACGGATTGGATTCGGAGTGGAGAAGAAGATGAGAAGAGCTCATGCCACTTTCGATCGTATCTGTGAAGAGTACGTAGCTGCTAAAAGAGAGGAGACAAGATTAGGGCTTCACTCCAATGGAGAAGCTATGGATTTGCTGACATCTTACATGAACTTGGACGCGGCCAAGTACGGGACCTTCGACCCATACGATGATAAATTCCAAAGAGACACCCTCTTGACGTTTATGATTGCTGGGATGGGTGTAGGCTCTGCTCTGACTCGGTTCTTCTGGCTTCTCTCGGCAAACCCCGAGGCCATAACCAAGATTCGCCAAGAAATCAAAACAGTATTGCCAAGAATCGAAAGTCGTGACGACGACGACGACGACGAATTGTCATTCGATCCCAAGGACTTGAAGAAGTTAGTGTATCTACACGGGGCATTGTGCGAGACACTAAGGCTATACCCTCCAATTCCATTCGAACGCAAGTCTCCAATCAGACCGGACGTGCTACCGAGCGGCCACAAAGTCGGTCCAAACGCAACGATATTGATAATAATTTACGCGATGGGGAGGATGAAAGCGATATGGGGGGAAGACGCGCCAGATTTCAAACCGGAGAGATGGATTTCAGACAGTGGAGGATTGAAACACGAACCTTCTTACAAGTTCTTGTCGTTTAATGCCGGCCCGAGAACTTGCTTGGGGAAGGAAATGGCGTTCACTCAGTTGAAAACGGTGATCGTAGAGATTATACGAAACTATGATATTCATGTCATCGAAGGTCAAGAGGTGGAATCACTTGTCTCTGTTATCCTTCGCATAAAGAATGGCCTTAGAGTCACTGTCTCCAAGAGATCTAATGAATGAACGTGACGATGCTTTTGTTCAAATGCAACAAAATGATGTCCAAAACAATTGGGCTATTTATGCTGAAGCCTATTAGTTTAATATATGTAGGCCTATTAACTAACAGTTGGGCCCAAATAAAGCCCATTAAGGCCCAATCTTAAATAAATTAAATGCTTCCGTCCTTCCACCTGTGAAGCCGCTGAAGACCCGAAGAACGTGAACTCTCACTTCCTATCCTTTCCTCTGCTCCGGTACTCTTTCTCCCTTCTGCGTAATCTTATGTGTTTATTACTGTGTTCATACACATTTCTTTGTATTCTGCATATGTACTTGCACATAGATGTGTAGTGTATGTACTCCACTTGTTGAATGGTGCGTTTCTCGTCTGGATTTCATGAATTCGATTTGAAATTGTCGGTCCTCGGTGAAAGAAATGAAACTTCTTGCGCGTGAAACAGGTAGGGGACTTCTAATGGCTCCTCTTACGCTTTCTGTTGATGCGAAGAGCTCTTCAGCTGGTTCTTCCGGTAATTTGTCCTGTCTTGGTTTGGTCTGTTATGCCTTTGCTTTGGGCTGAACCGGGTTTAATTTGATATATGAATTCTTCATGGTTGCGTTTCAGGTAAGTGTTGATTTGTATCGTGTTATTATACTTCGAATTCACATCATGTTAAGTAAGAATAGCACATCTTCGGCTATGGCTTTTCATGTATTTGTACAATCTTATAAGATTAGGAAATAGCATGTACTTTTTTTATTGTTCTTGGTCAGAAGCAGGAGAATGTGTTATCAGAGTCCGAGCGAATGATATCGTTTTATGATTTGGCTTTATCTGTTGCTTTCTAAAGTTATAAACAATTGGGTACGATGACTGTGGTGTTTGCCCATGTTCTATGATTTGTGTATCGCTCCTTTTGTGTTCATGCTTGTTTTGAATTTGCAGATATTCCAAATAGGGTGGTGCAGAACTCGCAGCTAAAGACAAGCAAAGGTTTTGCTTCAGTCAATATGCAAGAAGAAAAGCCTTTTGATTTCTTCCGCATTTTGTTTGGTATGTGTGAACATATATTCCTCTGACGGGTTTTTCTTTGCAACTGTAACATGTCTCGCATACTTCTCAGTCTTTCAAAGGAAAACATCTAGTTAATAAAATGTACAATGTGGTCTCTAGATAGTGTTCACCACTCTGCTGCGAAGAGTGGGTGGTGTTTTCTTTTAATGTTCGGAATTCAGAGTTCTGTGTTTTCATGAAAGGGCAACGTCATGGATTTCTTATGTTTGCCCCTGTTGATAATTCTTTTTCAGAGGGTGTTATAGCAGGAGGTACAGCTGGAGTTGTCGTTGAAACAGCCTTATACCCGATCGATACAATAAAGACAAGACTTCAGGCAGGTCAAATCTACGCCTTTTTTTTTTAGTTTTTTTTGGAAGTAGCTAAGAATGACCTTCTATAATTGGTCCTAAAGTTTCGGATTGGTGACAGGTTCCTCCTAGAAAGATTAATCCGAGTTCCTAATTTTTTTTTTAAATTTATAATGTAGGCAGCTCGTGGAGGAGGAAAAATAGTTTTGAAGGGTCTCTATTCAGGATTAGCTGGAAATATTGCTGGTGTCTTACCGTAAGTCTGCTTGTGGCTTACAGCACGACCGCTTTCATCTTGTTCGGGCACCCTAATTCCACCATCTTTTTGGCCAGTTAACTTGAGCGATGGCTTATGAGTAGTAAATGGCTATCTTAGTAGATTGTTAGGTTCTGTAGTACAAGTCACAATTGGCAGTCCACAATAGAATATATGATATTGACAAAACTGTTCCCTTGGTCTCCATGTGTTACTTTGATTGCCGATGTTGTTTTAATAATGTTCTTTGCAGGGCTTCAGCTTTATTTGTTGGAGTTTATGAACCCACAAAGCAGAAGCTATTGAAGACCTTTCCTGAACATTTAAACGCAGTTGCTCACCTGGTGAGAGATTCTCCATCTTAATTTTTGCCAATTGCAAAGCAATAAATTGCTTTGCTTTTACTGAATGGACAGCGTAGAAATGATCATAGAAGTGAGAGAGAATCTATGGTTGACTTTGTGCACTTTATTCTATTCTTTCTGCCAGGAATCTCCGTAGCCTTCTCCTAAGTAGTTCTTCAATCTGTTACAAGAAAAAAAAAAGGTTTATGCAATCTCCACTGTGATGTGAATGTGATCAGTTCATGATTATGCATCTGCCTCATAATTTCTAGCATTACAACCATGTTGAACTTTTGAGAGTAAATTATCTGTCATATACATACACCTTGAAATTTCTACTATACATTATACAACAATTTTGAGCCTTCAACAGCTGTAGGATTGTCTTCAAATTATCTGCTTGCTTTTTTGTCTGTAATATTAAATTTGGAAAAAGGATATTTTCTGCTTGAGAAACATTTTGTTCTTGTTTTTTCTGGTTAATCCTCCATTCTATTCTATTCACAGGCCCTGTTCATTGATACTTCGAAAAGAATTTCCTCTTATCTCAATCTATGATCTGAACAAGTTGCATATACGCCCTAGTACATGTTCCTCGTCGCTGAGGGCATTCCTGAAGCGCGGGGGATTTCGTGACATTTCGGATTGGCTGTCTTGTATTTCTAATAAGTTGT